TATGTCCCTGTATATTTCACTGTTAGCACACTGCCTATTTTCAGGTAATGTAGGTGAGCATGTGCTCATGTCATTAAATATTCATTTCAAGCATTTTTAATGACAGCATAGTATTCTGTTTTATGGGTGTGCCAGTTTATTTAGTTGGTGCCATATTGTAGGCATTTAAGGTGTTTCTGCTTTTTGACTGCACTAAACATCTTGATAGATGGATTTTGTGTATATCCCTGATTATTTCCTTAGGATGCTTTCCTCAATAATTAAGTAAAATCAGAAGTTCTGAGCAAAGGTATGTGTATATATTTTCAATGAAATACTTTACTATTTGTAAAGAATACATACATTTCAGTGCAGAAACGTAGATTCTTCCTACCAACATTGTTGGAAGTAGGGCAGAATTTCTTGAATATAAAACTGTGAAAGAGGAAATCACCATTTTATATCTTATAGCTATTCATTTAATGTTGCCTGATAAAGCGCTAATTTTTACTATTGACATCCTTTAGGTTGTCTTAATTTCAGCCAATTAGGACAAGAGGAATTCTGATGAAGGATAAGATCAGGACTACCTATTCTTTTAGCTATTTGTTCCACCAGTAGGCACTGTGTAGAGGTAATACCAGTGCCCATACAGGTTTCAGTGGCAGAAAACTCTTTCCTTAAGGTTTAGTGTCTATACTGAGCTATCACAAATTCTTAGCTAGTCAAATTCCTAACGAATTTGGCCTTTGCTTAGATCACTAATACAAATGGCATAGGCATGGATTAGTTGATTCTGAAAAGCAGCCCAGACTTTATGACAACTTGTGAGAAAGTATAACCTTAGTTAATGTCTTTTGTCATATGGAAAGTAAGAACATAGGGGAGGTTAAGAATAGATTTGAGGAGCACTTTTCTCTGATATACATTGCTATCTATCATGGATACATCACTATAGATATGGGACCTTCTATCTTTGAAATACACAGATATAAACTGTGGATAAACATATTGAAGGAGGATTGTTTTATAAGGTAATATCTACATATTTGAGAATGACAGATTGGCTTGGCATTTGTTAACTTAGGACCTCTGGCCATGTAGACAAATTTGCTGACTTCATGGTGAAAGATGTAAAAAATGGAGAGTGTTTTCGTGCAGACCATCTCTTGAAAGGTATGGTTCCTCATTTCATTCAAGTAGGATTAATCAAAACACAGAGTTTAGATTAAATGTATTTCTCAGAATTTTTCCATTAAAATTTTTATTGAGGCATAACATACAAAGAGTAAATTGCACAGATCTTAAGTATACAAATCAATCCTTTATTTTTTTAAAAAAGTTATATACAGATGATTTTTCTAATTAACAAAAGAATCAAGGTAATATCATGACTGTTCCTATAAAATCAGCCATGGGATTCATATAAACTAAGAACATTATCCTGGGAATTATCTTTTTAACTGTTCAACATGAAATTCCAAAGTGCGTTGTCAGAGTGTGGTGGTTCACGCCTGTAATCTGAGCACTTTGGGAGGCTGAGGTGGGAGGATC